GTGATATGCGTGCAATCTGTCTTTTTTTGGAGAAGGTGCATGTGGTCTCTGTTTGTGTTGCACGAGAGGGAGGGGGTTGGGGCAGTGTGCGTAGTTGCAGAAGAGGAAAATGACCACTCACCCTAGTGGGCTGGCCGGCCTGACCCCTTTTGCATTAGGCCTTATGTATACTCTACACAATGCCCACGAACAAATTTTAGTGGCAATACAAATATTGTGGCAACCAAATACACTCAAATGTAGCCACATATGATGTTGGTGACAACTGACAACAAAACCTCAACGGATGCAACGAATAACTTTTTGGATGCAATATACTAAGATCTTTTGCAACGCCGGGCTAGATTAAGGCAACATAGTTTCATTGTGGATATATTCACAACTACTTGCAGCTAATCCTTTTTTGGATGCAATATAGCAAGAGCAATAGCAATGCATGCCAAGATTAAGACAACGTAATTATATCGTGGCCATATGTGCAACTACTTGCAACCAACTTTACAATGGTAGCGACAACACCTAGCTATCGCAACGCAAAATCAATATTATCACAACTCAACACTAGTTGTGGCAATAGGAATCCATACTCACAACCTTTTCCACCATGGCATTAGCGCCTACCTCTTGCAACACAGCTTATAATTAACACAATACACAATTTTGGTGGCCATAAGGCCCACATATTGCTACCAATTATGACAGTGGTTACCATAGAACCCAATATTGCAACCAAATGTGTGGTCTTGCGAAAACAAGTGGTGCTAAAAGGTTCAAATCCTTGTAGTGACCATAGTCTTCAAGGATCCAGATTGAAAGCTTGGAATCATTGGGACCATCAACAGTACATAAACACAAGTGACCCTGAGCTTAATGCATGGAGTGGTGAAGACAATCTGGTCTATCAATTTTTCTCCATATGTTTCCCTCCATATCCACAGCAAATATCATAAAGTACCTCCCAGAGTGCCCCACAATGTGCAGACAACCGTTAAGAAACACACTTGTTGCCTGTAAAATGTCACAACAGTATGCTCGCCCTATTCAGATTCCTTATAGATCCATGCTACAGTTGAGATGAGTAGATCTTCACACCTACGCACACAGCGTTGATATCCACATATTCAATCACATGGAAGTGCGAGGAGGCTATCGGATCGAACACCAAGCGAGCCTCACCAACAGCATGGACAACATCACGGGTGCTAGGCGGCAGAATTTTAAACTTCTGGGTCATTGGATTGTAGACAAAATAGCGGTATCCATCAGCCCCAAGGCACCAGCATAGGATGAGGCTGTTGCAGCAATCGGAGAGAGCTACATTGTCAATGTTGAAGGGCAAGAATTCCAAGGAGCGGGGGCATACACCACGGACAACGCTGGTGAAGTTTCAATTGTCGTTCTCACTATCATGGAAGAAGCTGACCACAGTCTGGGGCAGCTTCTTATGGTTGTTGGGGTCCGAGATGAGGTCTTTCTAGGAGCGACAGATACATTTGCAGCAGAACAATGAGATCCTCCATGAGGTTGGCCAGTATGTTCCTCTTGTTGGGGGCCTCCTCTATTTTGTCAGTGTGCAGTATGATGAGAGCTTCCTCAGTAATGAGATCACTGAAGAGGAAAATAATTCAACAAAGATCCATTAGTGAAGTCCACGACTCATACCAAAGTGCAATTATTAACAATTTTTATGGTACGATCTCATGTAAATTTAGAGTAGCACCACCTAGATATATATAACTTAAACTAGAGTAGCAGTTAATGGAGCTGTAACCATTACAATTTCAACAGTTAATTGAGCTTCCTCGGTTTTCACAAGTAGAATGTTAGTGAACAAGTGATAGTGATCATCATTGGCATCAGTAGCAACATGTGCAACTTAAACATTATTGGCCTCAGTGATGTGATTGATGGACATAAAGCATTGATTTGCTTTCGATGCCTTCCTCTTGTTTGGAACGAAATGGATAACTTGGTTGTCAACAAGAAGAACACACAGAAAGCAAACATATGAGTTGCATCCTAATACATCCAACAACCATGTAGACATCATTGGCACAGAAATGTGGCCTCATATATGTTATAAGTTCAAAATACCATAAGGACTCACTGGTGGCACTGGAGCATACGAAACAGAAATGTAGAATCAAGCAAGCACTAGACAGAAAAAATAGTTTAAGGTAGAAGTGAAGGGCTTGTATATTTGCCTAGACAGATAGGTATAATCAAGCAAGCACTTGACAATTAACATGCCTAGTTGCATATAGGTATTTACAATAATAACATTGAACATATGCAGAAAACCAAGACACCAGCAGAAAACCAACTAGTGCCACCTCCTAGTTCTTTTCATCAGCATTGGCCTAACCAGATCTGCAACGCTACAATGTTTCTTGTATACCTCATGTTCAAGCAAGGACCAAAACAGTGAAGCGAATGGAAAAGGTGAGAAAGGAGACCTGCGGATCGGATCCTCTGCCGTGGCACACGATGGACATGGACACCAACGTCGCGTGCTCCACTAGGAAGACCTACCGCCTAACCTCCAAAAGGATGCATGAGCCACCACAGCACATCGGGGATCCATCGTCGCCGTCGCCGCTAGACCAACGGGCACAAATTTGGTTCCACTTGCCGGGGATACATCCAATATATAAGTCAACCTGTCGACACAGAGGACATATACTACTATTAGGATTCCAAAGACATGTCAACATAACCAGACGTCTAGTGCAATGGTGAAGACGATCTATTCCTTAATCTAGGTACAGGTTTTGACTCCCAGGTCTCATGGTTTTTTTAGTTTGAATTTATTAAACCGCGACGGCAACAAGTGACACGCAAGCCATCGGGTCCCACAGGTCGGATGAAGATGGAGAAAGGTCCCATAGGTACATGTGACATGTGAGCCGTCGGGTCCCATAGGTCGGATGGTCCCATAAGTACACATGACATGCAAGCCGTCGGGTTCCACAGGTCGGATGTTGAAGGGTCCCGCAGGTACACGTCGGACAGAGAAAGGACCGAGCAGAGACTTTTATGACGAATTACAAGCGTCATGAATGAGTAACTGCAGGTCCCACAGGTACACGTCGGATGGAGAAGGGTCCCATAGGTACACATCGCGTGGAAAAGATCGAACGGAGACTTTTATGAAGAATTGTAAGCATAACAGATGAGTAAATGCAGGTCCCACAGGTACACGTCGGATGGAGAAAATATAGTGTGGAGATCTATGACAAAGCCATTCATTACAGATCGAATATTGTTCGTTAGAGATGTGTAATTAGTTCAATGATGAAGCCTTGTTCATCATAGGTTTAAATGAGATCATCACAGATGAGTCGCGCGAGTGATTGTGACGAAACCCTGCGCTCTTCTATGACGTTTTTTGTGGCAATGCCTGATTTCGTCAAAGAAAGGGAGGGTTGCAGGATCGTCACCACTGATTTATGATGAAACCGAAATATTCGTCCTAAAAAGCGATCTTCTATGACGGTTTCGGATTCATCATTAAGATTTTTGTCATAGAAGTAGATATTTGTAGCAGTGGAAGAAGGGTGTAGTGGCTATCGTGTGGGCCTACGGGGCGAGGTGGCGCTGCGCCACTGGCTTGCGCGACGTGGCCGAGCGGCTTTGGATGCCCTCGCCTCGGTTGTCCGTATCCATCCTGAGCAGACAAAGAGAGAAGGAAGAGCGAAGGAGCGTAGAGGGAAAGAGAGAGGGAGCGGAGCGGAGGGAGATGGAGGGGAGAGAGAAAAGGGATGCGCCGGTGGTGGGGGAGAACAGCAGGGCGCAGGGCACCGGGCGAAGGCAGCGATCTGGCTATGCTCGCCTCCGACAAGGGAGGGCAGCGGGTGGAAGCAGTAGTGCCAGGGCGAGAACGGAGTAGAGGCAGAGGGGGAGGAGCGAAGCGGCTGACGGCGGTGAGCGCGGAGCAGAGTAGAGAGGGGTAAGAGAAGGGGAGGGTGGAGACGGGACTTGAGCTCAGTGAGGTGCCCCTCGACAGCAGCCATGGCCGGCCTTTTATAGGCGCTCGGTAAGGCGGTTGGGCGGAGGAAATATCTTCGACGACGGAGATATTTGTTGGTAGCCATGGCGGTGCGGTAGGCACACCTGTCGATGGATTTTCCGGACCCGATAAGGATGCTCAGGGAAGCGACGAAGGAGAAGGTCGGTTGCGGCAAAATATCTGGGTGGTGTTCTTCACGTGCGCGGAGTCGGCCACGGCGTCAACGCGGAGAAGACGCAGCGCGACGCGTCGTGGACATGGTGCCCGTGTGCGTTACTCGCCCGGGTGCGCTGCTCGGCCTAGGTTGAGGCTGGCACTCGGCTAGTTGGGCTGAACCCGTTCTGGAGAGAGTACACAGTGGAGAGATTTCCTTTTCCTTTTTGTAAATAGGTGATGTATTTCCTAAATATATTCTATATTCTTTTATGACTAAAAGTAATGATTTCATATTTCTAGGTTTCCTAATGTATGTATGTGTGTGTGTGTATATATATATATATATATATATATATATATATATATATATATATATATATATTAACTAAATGTAAATTGAGAAGGGAATGTCGGAGAGGGGAATTAATCCTATAAGTTAATAATGAAACAACTTTTATATTACCAAGATAATTAAGAAAAGAACATTGGAAAGGAGAAACTAAACCTATAATTTAACAATGGGATGCCATTTATAATTCATAGTTAATTAAGAACGAAAGAAATATTTAGTTGTGCATGGAATGGGAAATTCAAAGAAAACTTTTGGTGCCGCAAATAAATTCAAGAAGGCAATCACACAAGCATTCGAACAAGCACACAAGCAAGCATTCAAGCATTTCAATCAAGCAAGCATTTCATCACTCAAACATTCTAACCTAAATGCATATGGTGAATTTTGGTGCATGGTTTTGGAAAACATTTTCTTTAAAAGTGGTTTTACAGAAATAAACTAATCAAGTTTTAATTTGTTGTAAGTTTTAAAAAGTTCAAATTTTTAGTGGTTTTTAACATGATGCAAAAACAAGGGTGTTACAGCATGAAGGCCCCACGGACGGTCAGTGTCAAGCGCGCACTGGGCGCCGCCTGGATCGAGCGCCTGCTGCAGGACGGCACCGGCAGCATTGAAGACACGTGCTGGCCAATTTATCCTGGTGAAACATTTTTGTTGCCTGCAATTCATAGTTTTAGATTACTACAGTTTGAAAGTAGCAACAATTTGTGGTAATTAATCTTATTGTGTTACAGATTTTACTCATATCATTTTCTTGCACTCGCTGATTTCCTATGATTATATTACATAGGTTCCAGCAAACTCTTTCACATGATATTAGAACTCTGGCTTCATATGTTTCTCTTTGTGCGACACTGCCTACTTTCATGTCATATGTTTCTCTTGGTGCAAACGCCCTCACATAAGAATTCCTGTAGGAGAAACTTAACATATGAGCAGCATGAAGCTAAGCATGTGAGGGAAAAGCACCTGAGCAAAGGGAGATGAGACGTGGACGTCAAAATATGCAAAATACTTCTAACCGCAACACCCAAACTCAAAAACACATTGAAGCAACAAATGAACGACAGAGGGTGAAAACGTGAGGTTGAGCAAGCACATATTATAAAAGAGAAATAAGAAAAGGATGGAAAGTGATTGCCGGTGCAACACTCTGAACGACAGCTCCATTGACATGCAGAATCCAAGATTCATCATCACATTTATTCACCCCATCACATGCACATCAATTCAATGTGTTCCCAAACCCTTGTTACAGTTTGTTCCTCATCACATTTATTCACCCCATCACATGCAGATCAATTCAATGTGTTCCCAAACCCTTGTTACAGTTTCTTCCTCATCACATTTATTCACTCCTTGTTACAGTTTCTTCCTCATCACATTTATTCACCCCAAAACAAGATCAATTTGATCTGTTCCCAAATCCTTGTTACAGTTTCAATCTGGGTACCTGCATTAGATAATATTACCCACATATCAATATTATTCCCAAAGAAACATTGTCTGTGAGGAAAGACCACATACCAATATTACTAGCCAGTAACATAAATTTGTTCCAAATTCAGAAATAAGTTCTCATCAAGCGGAAGTCCTGATGACAACCCATATAAAAGAAATACCACATACTCTAGGATTTTATCCATCTTTCATACCATTTCCAACTCCGCAAATACCCAGACAACATGATTAGAAGGATTCCTATTGATTAGTCCAGCTTCACAGTATATTTTGCCACAAAGACCAATCTGATGGGTAAAAAATTATTGATCTGAATGTTACATAACAAAGCATGTAGTATGCAAAACTTAGTTGCAAGCTTGATCTAAATGTTACAGACATAATGATACATACCAGTTACTGAGAAGATCAAGCTCAGCAGCCATTTGACCTTGGCGAATGTAAAGATGTCAAAGGAAAATCTGCAGAACAAATATTTTGCTTAGCATATGTAGAAATATTAGTTGTAAGCATAAATCATATATTGTGTAATTAATACACTTACCATCTACCAACTATGATATATATACCTCAAAGCAGCCAGTACAAATAGGATGGTCAACAAAAGAAATATACAAGCACAAGCAACCTTGTAATTGTATGAATCGAAAAGCATACATGGCACCACGGTAAAAAAGATCAACACTATGGAAACAGCAGTAATAGTGGCAATCTTTGTGAATCTGACTGTTCCATTCATTGTGCCCAGTAGTCCAGCAATCAAACCCGATGAGATGACAAAGACTCCCAATGTAATGCCACCAAAGATGCATAACTTCACGAGATCACTTGATGCATTGAGCAGGCCATACAAGGCAGCAGATGTGGGCATTGAGCCCCCAAGCATAGACCCTAACAGAGCTGTATACTTGCTAGCCTGCGTGTAAGAAATACATCACTGGACAAGACATGTAGATCAATACAAGGTATATATGTAAATTAAATAAACTTGAGACCTTTTGGACAATCAAATGGCTACAAGTGCTCCAAAAAACTTGAGGCACGTCACTAGATAGAACATACAAGTGCTCCAAAAAGGATTGGTGGCTACATTCATAACAATGTCATGCAAACCTTTAAAAAATGATCATATATTGTCACCTAGTGAGCAACAGTGCATCACAGAAAATCAAATAGAATCCCTCTATGGCTACCTTCCCTGATTTTGAATGCAGGTCCAAACTAATTAGTTTCCTGGCAACAGTGCATCACAGAAAATCAAATGAACTAAGTGGCGGTTCTTTGGGAAACTTACATTGGGTGCTGGTGTGAGATGTGTCTGCGCAGCGACCAAGCAAGATACCCAAGCCCCTGCACCTGCTGCTGCGGCGGCAACCTCCAAGCTCATGTTCTGCGGTTAATAAGAAGCTATGTTGTAATGATCTCCAATTGAAAAAAGTTTCACAATATAATTCTCAGGATGTACCTCTCGAGCATGCCCTTCAATGTCGTCGTGCCTGAACAATATTTCAGCTGCCTTCAAACCTTCTCTGGCACCAGAACTTGCAGCGAACTTCACCTCTTTGAGAGGACTGGCAAAACGGGATAGAACATTCAGCTCTCTTGCCCTGTCCTCTATAGCCTCTTTTGCGCCCTTAGCGGCAGCCACTTGAGCAGTAGTGGTGGGTAGGATACCCGAGATCAAAGCCTCTGCAGGGACAATCTCACCGCTTTCTCTACCTCGGTGCTGGGCCTTCTGAACGGCATCCATCACAGCCTGCCTGGCACCCGTAGATGCAGCATTGGCGAATGACAGAGCCATAGCGTTCTCCTCGTCATTGGGACCGCCATTCCGGCGAGAGCAGATGTTCCCCATGACCAAAGGTTGACAAGAACAGATGGTACGCACGCACGGGTCCCAGGTAGAAGTCGTCGTCGCCTTGGCGGCGCTTGGGTCGACACTGCGCAAGGGAAGGGCCGGGCGGACGCGCTCTGGTGGCGTCGACGGAGCTCGGGTCGACGGGCGGGTGGCCTCCGCGGCGCTCGGGTCGACTGGCGGGCGATCTTGGCGGAGACGGGGTGGCGTCGGCGCCGCTTAGGTTGACGGTGAGCACGTGCAGGTTCCGGCGGACGCGCTCCTTGGAAAGAAGGCAGGTGGCGTCGGCGCGCGTGGCGAAGGCCTCGCCGATGGAGGCGTTCTTGATCGTCCTGTAGCAGCGCTCCTCGGCGTGCGTGCGGTACGGTTGCCGCAGGCCAACCCCCGCTGCAAGAATGGGGAGCAGCTCTCTCCTTCCGCACCGCACCCCCGAGGCCCCGACGCGCGCGGCTCGCCTCCTCCGGGAAGACGCCGCTGGCCTCGAGCCGCGTTGGTCGCCGCTGGATTATTCCCCGCTCCAAGATTTCCCGCGGGTGACCGGAGCAGTGGACGGGGCCAGGAAGGTGCGAGAGCAAGAGGCGGCGCCGCGGCAATCGGCGAGCTGGGAGAAGCGGGCCGCACGTTGCGCTTGCGCGGCGGCGAAATTGGGAATTGGGGGGAATTGAGGGGTGGTGAGGTTTGCCTGTTCTGCAAAGGGGGTTTTGGTAGGAAGGGACGGGAGCGGGGGTTCTGAAATTTCGGATTTTATACAATTTGTTTATGTTTTGTAAATAAAATAAATAAATCGCTGTGGTAAAGAATTGCAAGTCTTGTACGGCCCCACTTGTCAGCCTCAGAAATAGCGGACGCCGACCCCACCTGCCATCCTCTCCCACCCACGCTCCTACGCAATCTTTCCGCCGCCGCCGCCGCCGCTGCCCCCATGTCCGGCCACCACGCCTGCCGCCACGACTCCACGGACCTCACCAGCAAGCTCCAAGCCACCATCTCTCTCTCCTCTCGCCGTGCCGCACCCACGCCACGACGCACGCCGCCTGCTCAGTGTGCCGCCGCGCTCCTCCTCCTCTGCTCGTCGGCGTCGCACCACCGCCGGCCAAACAGACACCACCAGCAGCTCCGCTCCGTCGCCATGGCTCACCCCTGCCGCTTCCGGAGCTCCGGCGAGGCCCATTTGGCGCAGCTACCCGCCCCGGCCGTCCGCCGCTGCCGACGATCCCGGCGACCCTTGATCCCCGAGCCGCGGCGGATGAGTCGCGGGTCTCCCGAGCACCCTCCCGAGCGCACGCGCGTGCTCCAACGCATGGCACGGCGACGGATCGAGCGCGGGGCCGAACGCCTCTGTTGCGGCCACAAGCATGGTGACATCAGGGTGGCGCCCCGATGCCGTCATATCCTTCCTTTTCCAGTTGAGAAATAAGTCAGTGTATACAAAGCAAATACATTTATACCCTGCCTTATACATTCTCATCTTGTGAGTCCAAATACGATCCAACGTCCAGAATCATATCAGACATGAGGTAGCTTTTAATGATATGTTTCTTGCGTGATACAAACTCTGGTGGCGCTACATGCAAGTAGCAGTCACTCTGCTCCGGCAGCCTCAACTGCAGCTTGTCCCACCACTCGCGCTCTCCACTACTTCCACCTTTGACTTCACACATTCCTTGTTTACGAGAGGGAGGCAGTGAAAAGATTGGCAACCCCTGACAAAGAGCTTCTCCCAGCTTGGTGTTTCAAATTGAAACAGGACATCATCGTGGATGTGCAGCAAGTGTGGCAGTTCCTGGAGGTAGATCCTTTTGATGTTTGGGAGTGGAGAAGGTGCTACCTCATGTCTGGGTTGTTTGTAGAAAATTGTCTTTAGGTTGGGGCAAAAGAGAATGATCAGAGTCTCCGGTGCAGGCAATGACAAAAAAACATGGGAAAAGTTTCTCTAGGTTGGGGCAGTTCTCAAGGTGAATGTGTTTTAGTAGCTTCAAAGTGATTAGCTCATAGTAAGTTTCATTAGGTGGCATAACAGGCTCAACAATGCATACTAGGTTCTTAAGGCAGGAGGCCTGCAGTATGCTTAGGGATTGTAATACCTCTGTGTGTTTTTCTTCCATTCTCAATGGGGTTACCATTCTAAATACTGTTGTCATCTGCTGGCAGCGATGGAGCTGGCATTCTTCTAGTGACATAAGACTATAATTGAGGTCAGTAAGGCATCTGATGAAATTATCATATGTAATGAATATTGAGTTTGTAACAGAGAGAATATGCCTAAGCCATTTGGGTATTGATTCTTTGCTGACATCTCAACATGACGTTGCCTTGGCTGAAGTTTCATCATGGGCAAATTGCTAGCTGCCACAGAATACTGGACATCACAATAAGTTGAGCACCTCTGGATCCTGGTACGCAGCTCAACTTCTATGTTCCGTGGCTCCCTGCCTCTCACACTGCATGGTTTAACTTGGGCACTGAATGACTGAAGAAACTGTCCTTCCTTGACTAACTTGTTAGCAACATCCGCGTTGAAGCTATGAAACATTTTGGGGTCATTTATGTTGATGACAGCTGTTGGTCCCGAGGTCTCCCGCACGGGTGAGCCGACCGTTCACCTTCGTTGCCGACCACACACACTACGGCTGGAGGTAGAAGAGAGAGGGAGAACAGAGCACGCACACACAGCACAAGCACCAGTGTTGGCCGGAGCTCTGCAGAGTAGATGATAAAACTAAACCCGCTCACTTTACGGAGTTGCAGTGGGAAGCTACATATACAGCCCTACCCATCTAATCCTAGTACACAGACATGCCAGGCTATTAGGCTGCTATAGTGATTAGATGTGAAAGCAGGACTGACTTTGGCGTCTGACCCTGCTGTGGCCATAGTGCGGCAGGGGAGTCTTTCGGCGCCTACCCCTGCCGCGGCTACAGTGCAGCAGCAGGGAGCCCTTTCGGCGCCTGCCCCTGCCGCACATTCAGAGATGGGAGAGCAGCAGATTACTTTACAATTCTTCCCCTAATCATGTTGCTAACCATAGAACCTCCACCATGCCGATCATCTTCTTCAGCTCCGTGAACCGAAGACGGTCAAGCGGCTTGGTGAGGACATCCACGAGTTGCCGACCAGTTTCGACGAACTCAATGATAATCTGCCCTCCATCGACACAGTTCCTAAGGAAGTGGAACTTGATGTCAATGTGCTTACTCCGGTCATGGAGAACCGGATTCTTCGCGAGGACGATGGCGGGCTAGTTGTCCACCATCAGTGCTGGTGGGTGAGCTTCCACACCGGTCAGCTCGCCCAGCAGCCGGCGCAGCCACACAGCTTGGCACGCCGTTGTGGCCGCCACCACGTACTCTGCCTCGCACGTGGACAGGGCCACCACCTTCTGTTTTAGCAACAACCATGAGATTGGAGACGGCCCAAGAAAGACGACCACGTCAGAGGTGCTCCGCCGTCCATCGATGTCCCCCGCCATGTCTGCATCGCTGAACACAGTGAGCTGCAGCCCACTTCCGCCGGTCTTGGGGAAGATGATCCCCTGATCCACCATCCCCTTGACGTAGCATAGCAGCCGCTTCACCACGGCCCAGTGATCCTCTCGGAGATCCTCCATGAAGCGGCTGACGTAGCTCACGGCGAACGCAATGTCCGGCCTCGTGTGGACTAGGTAGCGCACACCGCCGACGATGCTCCGGTAGAGTGTTGCATCTACCCTCGCCGCGGTACTGGCCTTCGTCAGATTCAGCCGCTCCTCCATCAGAGTCACGCATGGCTTGCACTCACCATGCCGCTCCGCTTCAACAGCTTCGAGGCGTACACGCTCTGACCGAGCGTGAGCGCCTCTGTCCGGGACCGAATACTAGGGTACCCAAAGAGGAGGAGCTAATAACCATCAAACATTGATGCTTCCGAACAGACAAGAACGCGACTACACCTCTTGCCCAACGACCGAGGGTTAACTCCGTCTCGTCCGACCCCTGAGAGGAGACTCCGCGGCTCGACTCCTAAGGGCTGGCTCTGTCTCGCCTGATGTCTGAGGGTTGGCTCCACCTCGTCCGACCCCCCGGGGCTGGCTCTGCCTCACCCGGTGTCCGAGGGCTGGCTCTGCCTTGCCCGACATCGGAGGGCTGGCTCCGCCTCGACCGACCCCCAGGGGCTGGCTCTGCCTCGCCCGATGTCCAAGGGCAAGCTCCGCCTCGCCCGATGACTGCGTGCTGCTCCTTCATAACTACGCGCGCAGATAAGGCGGGGCACTCAAGTCAACCGCAATACCGAGGACCATACCCTGCACGCCTACAGGAAAGTACCGTCAGGATATGACAGGACATGCGCTTTAAGCCATTCTAGGCATGTAAGAGCCCGAACAGTGTTGTGGGCACCGACATTTGTCTTACAGTGTTATGGGCGTCGGCACTTGCCCTCGGGCATGGATCCTAACAGAAGCATACGATAACCACTATGGTCCAGGAGGAAACTCACATCATCTACAGTATGGACGTGGGGTCACTACGCCGTCTGCTCCCCGTAGGGTCGTGGATCAGCACCCTGGTCCGACGCGCCGCCCGCTGGGGCGGGATGGGACATGACCACTTGCTGACAAAGCCATAGCATGGACCTATTAGGATCAGCGGACATGCACCCAGCATGGAGCTATCCCTGGCACCATCTGCCGTGTCAGTGGGGCTCGCTCAAAGGAAAAGGAAGACATGGCATCTTTGAAGGACTCTGGTTTTTCTTCTTTCTCCCATCTGTAATCCCTGCTTCCCCTTGGTCTATAAAAGGAGAGGCAAGACACCCCACTAAGGGGACTGATCGATTTCAAGACATCACACATCACACCACATAGCTGAGCAGCATCTAAGCTCTCAGCGCCCGTTCGACCTTTCCATCAGAGACTTGGGACCTGTCCCTCTCTCGCAAGTTTGTGCCCCCTACTATGAACTTTTTCAGTGCAAATAACATGAGCAGCTACCACGAACTGGATGTAGGGACATTCTGCCCAAACT